GCCGCTACGACTCCCAAGCCTCATTAACCTTTTGTGGTTGCAGAAGTCATCCCCACGGTCACTTTCTCACCATCCACATGCGAGCGTGCACCAGGCAGACATGGCCTCCAGCTGCCTACCACGCGCAGTTTCTCAGCCCTTGTTCCTCACAGGTCCTCAGCCGTTGGCTGGATTTGTAATTGTCATGGTGTCATTACATTATGTACTCATCAGGAGATATTTCAATAAATTTTCATAATGTGGCCACACTGCACATTATTCAAACTAGAATAGCTGTCTCTGGGCTTTCTCATAGGCTGATAGTCCAGTGAGTTCTTTATGACTTTGAGGCAAATTTAAATACGTGAGCTTCAGTATTCTGTACATGTGCTTTTGGGCCTGTGGCATTCTGGAACACTGAAGGAGCATCGCTTAGGAAAGTACCACCTGAACTTTAGTCATCCGAGTACCATGTAGGCACGTGGGGTGAGTTTCTTTGTCCACTGAGGGGAAAAATGTGGGTTCCTGAGTCAGGCTGCCTGGGTTGGAATCCAGCTCTGCCATCTAACAGCTCTGGAATCTGGACTGTGTCCTTGAACGTTCTGTGCCTGAATTTTCCCATCTATGTAATAGGGATGATATTACTACCATATAACAAGCTTGAGAGAATCAGTCCCACAGGAAACATGAGAAGAGTGCCTGGCGAGCATAGATCCAGTTGTGGGAAGGGTGGTCTGCAGTGCATTCTGCCTCTGGAGATGGGCTGGGTAACCAATGGGAGCTCGCCCATTATCTTATGCCCAAACCTCCTGGGAGCACCCTGCTTCTCTGCTTCAGTTCCTTCCAGTCAGATGGCTACTGCTCATTAGATTCCATAATGTGCAGCATCCTCCACTCCCTGGGTCCTGCCTCTCTCATCTCATAAATAGCATTCTGGTTTTACCAGTTTGCTGCTCCTTGAACACAACAGACTGTTTCATCGCCCTCTGCCTCCTCTCTGGTCCCGCACTCAGGCCCAGCCAGATAGAGCCAGCAAGGCCCTGCACTGCCACTGTCATGTACGATGGAAGGTGGTCTGTCCCTTTGTGATGTCATCTGGGATGTCTTGGAGTTGAGGACTCTTCTTAGCTGCCCTGAGTCTCCTTAGCCTCTGACCAACACCTAAGACCCTGCCATCACCCACCGTGGGGCCAGCTCAGACCGGCCCATTCGCAGAGGGCTCTCCCCAGGCCAGGACCTGACACTTGCAGTCGGAGGGGCAGAGTGACCTGCTTCTCAGGCTCTACAACATGATCAGACAGGCTAGAGCAGAGAGAGTGCAACACAGAGTAGCCTGGCTTCAAGGTTGCACACGGAGCCCCATGTGAACACAGAAAGCATATCCTGTGTCACAGAGCCAGGCCCAAGGAGACCAAAGAGGCCAGTAGTGCACACTGTGTTTTATGGTCATGATTTAGCAACATTAATGAAGCAAGAGTGCAACCTGACCACCACCCCCATCTCAAAATCTGTATATTTGGAAAATCCTGATAGAAATCATGAAATATTTAGAATCAAATCACAGTAAGAACTAGATGTCAAACTTGTGAAATGTCGCTGAAGTGATGCTTAAATGAACATTTGAAGCATGAATTCATATGTTAGAAAGGAAGAGTTAAAGTTAATGATCTATGTGTCCATGTCAAGAAATTAGAAAATGACACTAAAGCCAAATAAATCAGAAAGATGGAAATAATATAGATGAGCAATAGAAAGGCTGGCATTTGGGTTAGGTTATGTCGTTATAAAGAAAAAATCTGACAAAAACATAGCCAGGCATGAATACCTATTTAGCATCTATATATTCTGAATGTTTCTCTTTGCTTGCATTATAGTTCTCAAAATTGACTTGTAAAAACTACAGGCCAGCAAAGCAAACATTAATTTTCACTTTTTTTAATTGAGTGCCTACAATTTGAAACGTATGTTTTAGTGGCTTTCCCATTGGGCTCTCAGATGAAAAGACACGAGACTTTCTGACCCTGTTTTGAAGCTCTGGGCCATCACACAGCCCTCCCATACCTCTGTGCAGCTGTGCAAGAGGGGGCTCTTTAACAAGTCCCCCAGGTCTCCAGCATGGATTGGTGTTCAGATTAAACCATCCCAAATGTACCCCCAAATTCAGTGGGAACCTGCCTGGCTGTTTCTGCAAAAGGCAGTCACAAGCAAGTAGAAACTTGATTTTTGTTCAGCTAGGTGAGAGAGAGAGCAGTTATTAGATACCATTAGTGATGTGACTTGGAAATAAAAATGTTCCTCTGATAACTTTTTCCAGCTTCTGAATTACTTTAATTAGAGACTCTCTGAGCTTGCAGGGCAGGTGTTGGGTGGTTACAATGAAGACTTCTTATCAGTGCCAATCAGGACTCCTGTTCCCGTGTCACTGAAATAAAATAGAGTGGTGACTGAATGAAGCACTGGGCTGACAAAGGCTACGACTTTGATTTCCAGTATTTGCTTCTCCCAGTCAGGGTCACCGCCGTTTTACAATGCAATCCTCAGGGAGCACAGCAGCACCCACCCTGCGCATGCCTTCTGGCTGCTTGCACTCCAGGCAGAGCTGAGGAGTTATGGCAGAGACCTTATGGTTCTAAAAAGACTAATATGGACTATTTGGGCTTTTACAAGAAAAGTGAGCTGACCCTGCTCCAAACAGGAACATTGTTCTCTTTGACTTGTTAATCTATATATCCTATCTAATAAAGAGGGGATATGCTAATTAACCCTCACACTGTCGCAAAGATGGCGGCACCCACAGCCAATAAGGAGGGAATATGCTAATTGACTGCCCCGCCCTCAAAGATGGCAGCGCCCACAG